GTGCTTTTTACACATAGATCATGCTTAAACCTAGCAAAAATAAAAATCACCTTGGTAGCCCTTCATTCCTGAGGTTGTAATCTCCACAAATAATCTGCTGAGTCTATTACTTCTACTGGAAACAGAGCTGCTCAGTTCTTCATTTCCCTAAACTGTTCATCTGCTGTCAGGCTAAATCTCTTGTGCAATATTTGAGCCTTCCAGTTACTGTAACAGCAATTTTATCTTTCAGAAGGCTTCTCCTTCCTCTTAAAGACTGAAATTTGTTTTGCAATTCAGTTCATTTTATTTATAAATATTTAATTTTAATTTGCCTCCCTAAAATTTGTTCTGAGTGGATAGTAACATGAATTTATTATGAAGTGTATTTATCTTTCTGTATCTCATTAGTGCTCAAGAGTTCTGTTGACTCTAAGGATTCTGCTAAACAAACTTCTCGAGGCCAATTTAAAATGCATGGAGGAAATTAAATGTAAATTTAGGATGTAGTGCTTCTTTTATGCCCCCTGCAATCTTCCCCAAAAACAAATGCCCCACAGAAGTTTCAGAATTGGCTTTAAATTTGGTGATCTGAAGACAGAAGGCATGGCCCAGATTAGTTTTAACCCCTCTGCTCTATAGAAAAACTGCAATGTTTCCAGGAATAACCCAAAGTGACAGATTCAGGGGTTATAAACATGCACGCAACATAAGAAAAAGGGTTTTAAAAAGTCCGATTTTAAAATTAAATAAAAAACTCTATGTGAGGACTTGTAGTTGTCACACAGTGCTTCTTTATGCTAGTTGTTATCCAATACTATTTTTTATCAGGTTTGCATACTGTTCATGTCTCTCTGAGGCAATGAACAAATCAGAAAGTTCAAATCAAATGAGGCTGCTTGAAAAAAAAAAACCAACAAACCAATGTGAAGAATGAAATGAAAAAGGCACAAAGAGTGTCAAGGTCAAAAAATAACAAAAATGTGAGTGAAAAATAGCTGACAGAAAAAAAAAAGGTCCCATTTTTGCATCTCATTATGACAATGGTTGATAACATTTTCAACATACTTTCAGTTCAACTAGTCAGCAAACATTCTGATAACATAAATATCCTGAAAGCACAAGCCAGGAACAGCACAGCATGATTTCAATCCCTTTTGACTTGGGAACATCACTGTAGTTTCATAGAAACAGGTCACAATTCATGGAATTTAATTTGTCATTTTAAAACCTTTGTGATGCAACTTTCTTGGCTGGATATCAAAAGCTCTTTTCACTACTTCCCTGCTACAGGGAAATTAGAAAGACATGACTAATTGGGCAATTCCAAGCATATCTGCATACTTTTTCCCCTTAGACCAGCATCATAACTGCTTTATTGGTAAGTCCACAAGGAGAAACAGGTTTTATCATTAATACTAAATCATTTGGGAGATGGAGAATAAAAAAGTGTAGAAGCAGTTAATTCAGATATGAATTATGATGTCAGAAATTATTGTGAGGCTAAACGCCTTGAGTACAGTAACTGAGTTCATCCCCCTGAATGAAAATCATATTTGCAATTAGCTGGCATAAAGCAGGGCACAGATAAAAAAAATTAAATTAACTGTGCAAACACTAACAAAAGTATTAAAAGTAAATATACCTCTCATCTGTCTCTGCATAGATAAAAGACATAGGTACTTTATCTTGGGGCTGAATGAAAATGCACTGTGCTTTTTGATAATTTAGTCAAAATTACCTCTACTGGTGCTCTCAAAATGTCATTATGATCCTCTTCCTTTAAAATGGAATGATACTAATATCTGTATGTCCTTCAGATAAAACAAATTGTATTTTTAAAAGTTCACATTGGTCTGCTAAAATGGATACTGCAGTTCTCCGTATCATTAAAATACTCATTAATCTGCCACGCCATTAGATATTTCAGACAGCTAAACAGGTTTTGGTTACTATTAAAAAGCACTTGATATCAGGTTTTCTAGTTTGTAGGAGCTTAGGTATTGCTCTAATACATTCTCTTCTCACTCCCAGACAAAACACAATGCTCAGAACTTCCAGTACGGTCCTGCAAGAAAGAACAGACACACTTTTTCAAAATACTCTTTTTTTTCAAAATATTCAGAACAGCTGCTTCTGGCATTTAAACTTCCTGAATAGGAATGGCTCCAAAAATTGATGTCTACAACATCATCTTTTATATTAATAATTTCAAGACAGTAGAGTTTACAGATGTCACATATTTTATTACAGAAATTTCTGAAGTATTTTATTATGTGGCACTCTCTTAGCTACTGCAAGAGTCTAACAAGCACACTATGTGTTAGCAAAGCCAGTGACAGTGAAAGCAAACTGCCTCAACCCGTTTAGTGTTCTTGACTGGATTCTGCTAAAAAAAATTAGTTTGCAGCAAAGTGCTAACTTTAACATCCATTACAACTTGAAAACAGAAGGCTTTTTTACTACGCCTAGTACTTGATAACTAAAAGTACATCAGATTACATCTTGCAAATACAATTATCATCCCAGTTCCTTCTGAACCAGTAATGAAACTGGGATGATAATTTTATTTTGAAACTGAAACTGAAAAAGCACCTTATTTTTTTGATGGTCATACTTATTAAGGAAATAGAACAAAATCCTATAAACTGCACAGTCCCTAAACACTGGAAGAGATTAAATCACTGATAAAATATTATTAGTACAGAGAATTTCTACTATTTATATCTTTATAAATTTTTATAAGATACTGTGTGAACCATTTATCTCTCAAAAGGTGATTACCAATGACTATCCAGTAAAATATTCATCTAGGATAGTAATTCAGATACAATACATAGATTAGTTCCTGTAACAACAAAGTTAGCAGAAAGAGCATAGATACCATCACTGCCATACAAAAACAACCTTCAGGAGCCACTGGCAAGAAAATCAGCTTTGATACATGGCACAGTGTATTTGAAGAAGCAATTTCAGACATGGAATCTAGCAAAAAGGAACTGAGGGATTCTTGATAGAACAAAAGGAAATGGAAAGCTGTGAGAGCAAGATACACAAGGAGGAGGTTTGAGAGATACATACAACACAAGAAGGAGCAAAGCAGTGATACCAGCACAAGAGGCTGCATAGGACTGCAAAAATACCTTACATTTTCAGCATGCATTGACATTTATGGTTAGATCTGTATAAGTACACTAGAGGTGGGATTTAGATGTTTAATTTGGTGCTTAAATTCCAAATTAGATACTCAGCATCATCCCTGTTAGTTAAACCTGCCCATCAGCACACTCAGCTGCTATTGCTCAAGAGAGCTGACATCTTTAGTACTATTTTAAGTTTAATTAGTTTCACTTCTGTTCATATCTATGTATAGTTCCACATTCTGCTGCTTCCCTTAACTGTGGCATTCGAATCAAGGACATCCTCAGAAAACCAGGCTGAAGGGGCCTGGATGGCATTAAACCAGGCAGGACTAACAACAAGCCCTCTCTGGAGCTAGGGCTTAAAACTCATGTCTCTCTGCTCCCAGAGCGAGCTAATCTGCAAACTGATCTTCTTTCACACTCCCAATTAATATTTAATTATTCCACACACAGCAAAACACCTCCAAGAGAAGACACTGCAACTATCCTGCCTCAGTATTTTATAGCCAGGATACTTTCCTGGAAGATAGGAGATGCTGATTAGAGCTCCCTCAGGCAGAGGAAGGAGCTGAAAGCAAGCCTGCTGCCTTTTAACTGCTGAGGTAGTGCATAGCACACGTTGGGAGTGGCAGGCAAGCAACAGAACACTAAGAGCTTTTGAACAAAAAAGGCCATCTGGTTGATTTCAGGAAAGGGAGCCCGTCTTGAAGGACACTAGTCCCAGGCAATGACACTGCTCCCTTTTTTGAAGATCTCTCCCAAGCAGGTCTCCATTCAGCTTGCTGGGATTTGCCATTTAACTAACTTTTCCTAGAGGCTTCCTAACCTAACCTTAATGATGCAAATTCAGAAACACCACGCACCTAGGTACGGCAAAGCATGAAGCTGCAGCAACTTTTCATGCTTTTCTTTGTGAGTGCAGTGCCCAGCAGCTTAGAGAAGAGATCAAGAAGCACAGTGTCGCTGCCAGAGTGGGAGCATACCTTAATCACTTGGAGTCAGCACGACTCTGGGCGCACAGAAGACAACAGAGTGGGAAACCCAGACTGAGAGCATTCACTGTAATCCAACAGAAAGTCTTGAGGAAATAGAGTGATTACAAACTTTAGGATATACAAATAATTAGGTTCCAAGAAAAATAAGTGCACCTACAAAACAAGTCTTCCCCAACTCCGCTCCTCCACGTTCTCCCATTATGTTCCTCTCTTCCAACATTTACATTTTTATCACCAAGCCTCCTACAATTTGTGTGCCACACCAATTCTCTTGAAAGCTACCATCTTTCCACAGCCTTTACAGATAATATTCCTTCCCTCATCACACTAATAAAATTGTCATGATTAACCATTAATCACTAAAATAAAACACTCTCTCTCCCTGAACGTACCAAAAAGTAGTTTAGGATATTTGTAAAACAGACTGTTATTTCTGACATACTGGGCATACTGGGGTAGATTCTGACTTGAGATATGAAGCAGCACATCTCCAAGGAAGAATTTGATTTACATCACATGAGTATCGTGCTTGCCTAATTAATATGCATCAAGACATTATGCAGGAATGCTCTCCACATGGCACACATGTCCATGAACTGAGCGATACATCACACATATTCCTGCGAGATCTGCCATGTCAGAGAGGCTGTCCCACAGCCCTGCTCTGTCTGCACCTGCTCAGCTGGGCGAGGCTGCAGCGCTACTGCAGTAAGCACATCTCAGATACACATGCAGGAAGAAATTACAAAAGAGATGGCATAAACCTTTGAGATCTCCAGAGGCCTTTATCATCCAACAAGAAATATTGTTCCTTTGCATTTTTCTCCTTTTTTTTTCTTGCCAGCATGTCTCAAGGGGTCTCTTATACCACAAAAATACTTACGATAATCTCAGTAATCATTTTTTCTGAGATCATTCCCAGGATTCAACAGCACATGTCGTGCATGTGAAATTCAGTTTATCTATGAAAGGATGGGAAGCACACAGACACTCCATCCTAAAGCAAACAGTCCTAAAGTGCAATCCTTCATGACATGGTTGCAGCTTCAATCTTCTTTCTTTCTTCCCTCCCAGATCAGATGAAAGCTGCAGCCACTCTGCTTCCTGAAACCATAATCAGGTTCTTAAATAATTTCTTCAGCTGAAAGAAAAAAATAATATCACCACATTAAAAATAACCCAACTGTGAAGCACTGTGGAGACACTGTAAGGCACTGCAGTTTTTGTGCTACATAACTAGGAAATAATCACACAGAACTCCTTGAAAATGTTCAGACCTCAGCAACCAGCAGCCTTTCTAGAATTAATACCAGGCTCAGCAGCCCTGCACAAGATATCACAAGCCTGTAAGGTCACAGGTAATTACTCACACGCTGTGAGATTTCAGCTTTCATCACAATCCCAAAACTGTTACAGCTGCACACAGTAGCTGGAGCAACCCACTGTTTAGTCAAGAGTACTTACAGTATCCAAATGTCTCATGTGCACACATGTAAAATTCAGCTACAGATTGGTGATATACGCATTGAAATTATATGGAAAAGAGAAAGGTGCCAAGGTACATAAGCCAAGGATTATCTTGTGAAGTTAAAATTCCTGTTGACATGTGGAAGTTCAGGCTGTTGCAATCAAAAGGCGTATTTGCAAGTCTAACATTTATAATTACACAAACATTCCCCCACCCTTAATGTCAAACATACTGAATGCCTTTCCGACTGTGAGAGGCTTTCCAGCTGGTGAAGAAAACAGCATCAGGAATTCAATGCGTGTATTATTTAAAACTATTATCTATCTACATTTCTAAAGAGAATGAAGTTCATTTTTTGTTCTAGTCAGTAGCTCTACCATAGCCAAATGTCAGAATAATGAATAAGATATATAAATTTGAGAAGCATCTATATGAATATTCACTTAAAACATCTCAAAATATTACTAAGCTAATACATATCTTTAATAAATGGTGAACTGTTGTTATGGAGAGCAGTGGTACAAAGCTTACCTATATTTAAAAAATATAAATTGACATTCCTCATCTGTGTGACAAGTTTACAGTGTCAATTAACCAGCGTTATCGCTTTGCAAACTGCTTACCAGTGAAACAACAAAAAGTACAAACTAAATACTTTGAATCAACTATTAATGGGTCTTTCTCCTTCAAAGGTATTTCCCCTTTGAAAGGCAACAAAGCCCACGAGATCAGAAGGGCCTGGAAAGTGGCAAATCTGGCACTAACACTATGTATGACTTTGGGAAAGCTGCCCTGGGTTCCTCCTCCTTCTTTTGTCTGTCCAATGTTTAGACAAAAGCGATCTTGGATTGGTATTCAGGTCTGGAATCATCCCATATTAGCAAAATAGCTTACCAAAGTGCCTGCACTAAGAGATTAATTGCTTAGGCTTCTTGTATAATTGGTAGACAGCATGACATGTCTTCTCCAGACCCATGCAAAGGTTTTTCTATATTCCTTTGATCATGTAGAATATTGGCGTAAAAAATGGAAGCAATTTAATTTTGGTTATACCTGTATTGCTCCAAAATAAAGAATTCAGACACGTCATTCATCCCTCATATAGTTAGGGCACTTTTACCCAAGAAGTAGAAAATTATAAGTAGAAACCAAAAATGTGTCTTTTCTGAAATTCAAAACTAGAAAAGGAGGGGAAAGTCTGTAACACAGAGGGAGACAACCAGATGTGAATTACAGACCTATCAGAAAGCAAGAAAGCAGGAAAGAAAGCAAGAAAAAAAGCAAGAAAGAAAGCAAGAAAGATAGAAGTCCTGTGAAGCTCCCTGTGCTTCCCTGGAGCACCATAGGGAAAGCTCCAAGCGATAGTAATGCTAACATCAAGCTAGCCATGGAAGCATAGACATGATTGGCACTGACCATATTCACAGGTTTCTTACAGGAATGCTCCTTTTATGATTTTTTTTAAAAGCAAATTATACAGAAATTTAAGATTAAAATATACAGCATGGTAATAATCATAGTATTAATTAAGTACACCCCTTACTAAGATAAATAAGAAGATAAATATTAGTATATTCTTTTTAGAAATCAGGCAAAAAAAGCCAATATCCATGAAGAGCTGAAACACTGCTTTGAATGGAAACAAATTCTGAGTAACAGGCCTTCATTGAAACATAGCAACTGAACAACTGTGGACCCTCACATCTCTTCTGCTACCCTTTCAAATATTCGACTCTCACTCATGCTCTCTTGTCAGAAGAGTTTCTGTTGCACCTCAGGACTGACAGCCACAAAAGCCACTTCAGGACTGCTTCGTGATGACTGATGTGAAATAAAATATCACAGAGGAGAAGACCGCAGAAAGAGCATCCCCCAGTCCATACCCACTGCCAGTGAGCAGAGCAGGGAGCCGCTGCAGGTGGATATTACCATGACAAACTGCACACAAACATTCTCCTCAACAATAGCTACAGCAGCAGTGAGTACAGTGGCAGAAAGAAGGGCTTTTAAGAAACTGTAAACAAGCCAAACACTCTTCAACTAGAGTGATTTTATGCATTTGAAATAAAAAAAAATGCTACTTCACTAGCTGACAAATGAAAGTGAAATAGCTCTTAAGCTGATAATGCAACTGTTCTCAGCACAAGCAAACTGCAGTAATTCTTGAAGGGCAAATGAAGCCCTTGGTAGCAGGACAGAAATGGGAGTACTGTTGAATTTGGCTGCCTTTTCCAGTCCCAGCCTAAGAACGCACCATAGCCTAACAATATGTTTTAGTATTTGTTAATCTGATGAGGTCAGTCTATTGAAGTTCATTTTTATTGCCCTATCTAAAACAAGAGGAAATGGGAATCATTAAGTTACCTTTCCCAATCATTCCTTCAACACACCTAGCTTCCTAGAGGATAAACTACCCTCTGCTGGAGTAACAGAGAATTTACAGGCATGAAAACATTTCCTTGAAATCTTTTGGACCTTCTTAAAAACATTCTGCTGCAAATACAGTTCGTCACTTGTTGCAGACTTACTAAAACCGGAGCTTATTCCAGTGGTTTTGCAGCCAGTGTCCTCTTAGTGAAAGATAACTGACTCACCTAATACATGAATCATTCCCACAAAATTAGTCTTTTTTTCAGGCAGCTTTAGTAGATTTTTCTAAGAACCAAGCTGCTGAGTAATGGATAATATCCCCTAACTTCCTGGTTTCTATTATTTTTCTTGGTCCTGGAATCTTTCAGAATTCAAACTTAATGTAACATAATTCACCCCACGCAAGAGTTGATCACACACAGTAGCTACACAGTGTACAAACCCTTTTTGAACTGCAATAGCAAGCATTAATGAAAAGAAATAAATCTTTCCTAAGGAGCCCAGACTTAGAATTTATCCAGATAATTCTTCTATCAGGTAACAGAAGAGCCATTGCACTTCACTACTAGCTGCCAGTCCATCCTGACAGCTGGAAACACTTTCAAATCCAGTCCCACAATGAGCAGGATGGTACAAGAAGAAATTTCTATTAAACTTTCAGCTGATTGTAACTCACATCTATCCTCAAATCATATGCCCAAGCCAGCCTTCATACTACAAAGGTGGTACCACAGACTCAGCACATAATACTGAAGGTTACTGCCCTCTTTCCAAAATGTCCCAGTACCTTCATGGAAGGTAATTTCACCTCAAAATTGCTGATCATCTTCTTGGACCACTTCACCAGGATAGACACAGAACACAATTTGTACACAGGCAATATATTTTCCATAGAAACTACAGTTTATTTTACATGGAGGTGTTGAACAAAAACGAAGCCAAGTATGACAACAGAGAAAGGAATGCTACAAAACCATATAATGAGTTAACCACTTCCATGACTGTTAAAACTGCTGCAAAAATCACAGGCCCACTGATTTCATCGCAGGTGCCTTTGGTACACAGTTTTTAATACCCAATAAAAGTTTCAACTTTCAAACAGAAATGCAAAGTTCTGTTTCTTTCTTCAAATCCATAGAAGATGGGTGTATCTCACACCCTGACATGATGCTATCACACCACCAAAAAAAAAAAACCCCAAAAATAACCATGAGAAAATCTGATACTTTGCTTAAATTTCTGGCACACAGATACTGTCACAGAACTGCAGTCAGGATCTTTGGAGAGTGTCTTCAGTCCTACGATCTCTCATGGAAAATGTGCAGAACAGCTAGACTGGAACAGGAGCTGCCACACGACGGCTTCCTGTGCAGTGCTGGGCTGTTTCTGTTGCCACCACAGCTGCCAGCCACAGTACCTCCTCACAGCAAAATGAAACAGCACACAGCATCAGCCACGGAAAGTTTAAAAAATACAAAACAATTCCAATTGCTAATACTAACAAAGCATATTCTAAAGCAGCCATGCAACTCATCCAGCATATATTGTAAAATACGAGTTTCTTCAGCAAAGGCAACAGTTTGTGCCAAAGTGGAATTTAACTCGAAATATCTTTTTCCGCATAGGATCTGGCTTAGCTGGCTACATGTAACACATCAGATAATGCCTGAAACAGTCAAAAGTACTTTAAGGGCTCTAAAAAACGAAAATATGTTGGCAGCTATTTATCAGTGCTCTTCTATGAACTTCCCATTTCTGCTGTTGGCCTCTGAAAGGCAAGTAAAAACTGCCAAATTAAAAATAAATAAATAAATAAATAAATAAATAAATAAATAAATAAATAAGACAGCATAAGAAACAGTTGAAGGATAATCTATTTTAAAGTACACTGTTCCACATAAAAAGATTAAAAAGCCAAATTTAAGTATTTTAAGTGTTTTAGCAACTAATGTAGACTTCATAACTGCTAAAATAGAATTGTGAACTAGCACAGTTATGGACGTTATTACAGAGGAAAAACCCAGCGTGCTGCAAAGATTAAAAGATTAACAGCATCGTTTACAGTCAAAAAACCCCCAAACTTCAGTAGCATGATTGACTAATATGGAGCACATGACTGTGGAGTGAATTACAGAGCTGTGTCACAGGCAGTGTCCCCCAGTGTGCACCCCTGGGTCCCCTGGCAGTGGCATTTGCACCTCCTCTCTCCCGGACAGGCATGCAGCAGGAAGAGCAGGAATGGGACAGGACTGATCTCACTCCCCACCCTGGAAAAGCCCCCACTCATCACAGTGGAAAAGTGCCAGAAGTGCTAGTAATAATTCTAGTAATATTAGTAATAACTAGAATTCTTAAAAAAACCCTAAAAAAACTAAAAAAAAAAAACCAAGACAAACCAAACTGTTACCATCTGTGATGATTTTATACAAAAGCACGAGGGCAGGAAAATACTCTATGTTTTAAAGTATAAAATTTTTATTGACTTGCAATGCTACTTCTGTTCAAGTGGCATTACAGAATTCCCCAATTCCTCTGAAACAGTTTTTCAGCTTACTCCTTGCTTAATTTTTCTCTTCTAATTATTAATTAAAGACTGTTGTGTAACATTTGGTTCAGTCTATCTCCATTGTCTATTAATAATGATTTTATTTTGGCATACAGACAGAATTTACTCTAACAGTTGGTTTTTTTCCTGAAAAAAACTTCATGTGTCAAAAGCATGACAACAAAAAATTAAGCAAAAAACCCCCAGAAATAAAGTTTTCCCACAGCCAAACTTTCCACGAAAGGAGAAAGGCTGACAAATTCTTCAGTAAGTCAAGAATGTTACTGAACTCCAAATATGCAATGGGAGTTTAACATGCAAAATGCTTTTCAGGCCTGCAGCATGCTAAGAGCAGTCCCAAGTTTCCAACATTGGCTGTATACACACTTCCACTGCCTGCTGAAGACATCACTCCTCTGGAAGTGAAGCTCATAGATGCACTGCCAGAAAATACCCATCAATTCAAATATTTACATGGCCCTTTCAGTATAAAAATCACAGTTGCAAACAGCAGAAAGCGCTTTTCAAAGTTATTTTTTGGCTAGGTTCCAGCTGCCCCTGAGCAATGCAGGTAAGGCTTTAGAACCCTCAGCCAGCTAAAGGAGATACAAGGGATACCACGTGGCAGCTGAGACATGCTGAATAAATATGTCATGGAAGAAAAGAAGTCAAATATTTTAATTAAAATCTTTCATCTAGCTAGAAATATGACCACAGTTATTTATATATCTCAACTGATCAAACTACAGTAGTTGACTCGTGTGTCACAAATAACCTTCTTAAAACTGTAGCATTATCATCAGAAAAAGTTTATTCAGAGACAATTAAAAGTCCTAATATTTTCTAATCTAGGATTTTTGAAATTCACTGGAGGTTTTTTCCATGTATGATTACTTTTCGAAGCTTTTATTTTTAATTTGTGATATTTTGACTTCTCACGTAAGTGGTTTCCTCACAAACAGAAGTTCTTTGGTGGTTACTCAATGCTTCAACGTGTGACATTTCTACTACAAGAGGATGACAACTCATGTTACAAGTGGAATTTCTTCATTTTTTCAGTTCCACTTCAGTTCCACAGTATCTGCTTTGCTCTGAAGAATAAGGATTTCACATGATTATGCTTTTCATCTTGACTAGGAGTTCTATATATCAAAACCATTCGTTCAGTGGGAAACTCCCAAAAGTTACTGTATTTTTCTAATAACCCTGAAAGCTAGACAATAGGTAGACACAGAAAGCTCACATCCCCAGAAACACATCCCACAGCTGTGTGACTGATTTCTGTCCTATTCTCTAATTAAAGAACTAACACTATCAGTTCCACAAAACTGATCATACTATCCTTGCACTCAAAGCTATACTTTTTTGTACAGTTCTCTGAAGCTTTTTTGGGTTGTGGTTTTGTTTTTTTAATGTTGCTTCCTCATTGATTTTCCTGACTTTCCTGCACTTTTTAGTTAGTTCTTAGGGTGTGTCCATTATAAGACAGACCTTATAGAACAAAAGATAGCATTCACTCTTTCCTCTTTCACACCCACATTCATGTACACACACACACACAGAGAAGGGCCTGGGCAACCTCTGCTATAGACTAAGCCTTGTTAAGATACACCATCTGTTATGAGATGGGCAAAATACCTTATAAGATGGGATGTGAAGATGAGAAAGTAAGTGAAAAAAAAGGCAGCAACAAAGAAACAAAAATAATTTCCTCTGCCTTTAGTCATGCAGAAGTTTTGCACTGCTTAGGGGAAGCAAGGAAGTTCTTTTTCCATACTGGTAAATATTGCTGAACATGTGTCAAATTAATCCCAGATAATGGTCTCTATTGCCAGAGCTCCTGGTGTATGAAAAAAGGACTGTTGAGAAAGCACATGCAATTACACCTCCTGAATTCAGAGCTTGCTCTGCATCTGGGTCAGCATCCCTGCAACAGTCAGAAATTGTTTAAAAGCATAAACAACCTTTTTGCTGAATTTACTATGGAAATTCTCTTGAAGTACTTCTAATTTGCTTCTGATAGATAGGCAAATGTAACTGGTCAACCTCTACTCCCACTCCTCTGTGCTTGTGACAGAATGACTTTCTAATTTTGTAAAAAATAAAGAACCACCAAAATGTAAGCAAAAGTGCTGTTTGTTTTCTCTGAGCAGACCAGATCACCACCACTGCTATAGTTTATTTATCCCTATACTTGTTAAGTAAAAATCAAGGTTTTTTCTAAAACTTCATTTTAGTTTTCAAAACAGTTAGATAACAACACTAAATAAAAAGCTGATCAAATAAAAACCAGCATTTTTTTCTTCATAACTGCCCATATAGCACTGAAAACTGAAACTCTTAATTCTCTTTCCCATAGTGCAGACTTATTCTCATATATTTTGTTCTGTCAGTACTTCTGTCATCAGCATATTATGATGTTATCATGACTTTACTGATAGCAAGTCCACAGGCATCATTTTCATAGGCTTAAAGGAAATAAAAGAGATGGAAGATGATATGACTGACAAATAATATACTTTTATAATACATTTTGCACCAAAGAAGGTGGTATCTTCTAAGGATACAAATGTGTTTTGGGACAGAGGTTTTGTGCTCTTTGTAGCAACTAATGTCACCAAGTGTACAAGGACAATAGACCAGCAGGTGTGAAATCCAGCATGACAATGTGAAGCTTCATCCCTGAACCAGAAGTGAGAGCACAGGTGACTAGCACAGAAACTCCCATGGCCATACTTGTGGTTGTAGGTCTTGTATGGACATTTCTGGACTAGGGACTACACCACCACCATCACCACTCGGGTGAAAGCTGCACACAGGCACTGCATAACGCGACTGCTGTCCTTCCATCAGCCCAGATAAGACTGGCTATAATCGTAAGGCTCAGCCAGCAAGTGTAACCCTATTTCCAATTCACACACGATCGTCTCACAGTCAAGACCGAACAAATTCTCGGTACAGACACACAAATGCTTGCCTTGAACGTACACTTCCTGTGCTGGGACCCACACTAACAGAGGCCAGCAACAGGCAGTATAGCAGATCTTCCCCTTGGCAGCGGGACACGCCGTCCCGAAGCCGGAGCATCGGCTGCCGCCGGCCCTGTGCGGTGTCTCACCGTCGCACCCGCGCCCCTCTCTGTGCTGCGCGGCCGGGCAGCCCGGGGTGACACGGGCTGGGGCCGGCACACGGACAGCGGGACCGCTCCCCGGCTCCTACGCTGGAGCGCGGCGGGCCGGGCAAGCGGCAGCTCCGCTCGGCGGCAAACGCCGTCCGGGAGCGGCGCTCTGGGCGGAGCAGCCCGCGCTGGCACCGCGGGGCACACGGGCCGCCCGCCCGCACAGGTGCCCCCGCCGCCCCCGGCCCGGCCCGGCCCGGCCCCCGCCCGCCCCGCGCAACCTGCCCTGCCCGGCGCGGCCAATGGGGCGAGAGGGCGGGGAGCGGCGGCGGAGCGGCCCAGGCCGCCCCCGCCCTCCGCGGCGAAACTCGGCGGGAGCGCCGCGGGGGCTGAGACGGTGCCCGCGCCCCGCACGGTCCGCACCGCTCCGCGCAGCACAGCACAGCGCAGCGCAGCGCACCGCCGGCGCACCGGGGGATGAGCCGCGGTCACCGCGCTCCGGCACCTTCTCTCGCCGCCCCGAGGGCACCTGGAGCCGCCGCCCCAGCGCCGCGCTGAGCCCTCCCCGGCGTTGGTGCGAGCGAGAGGCGGTGAGGCGGCTCCGCTCGGCTCGGCTCGGGCCTCCCCGATCCCCCTCCGGGCTGGGCGCGGAGCGCTGCGGCAGGAAGAGGCAGCCCCGGCTCCCTCGGCTGCGGTCGGTGGTTGACGGACGGCACCCCGGTTCGGACTCATTTTAGGACCTTTTTTTTTCTTTCTTTCTTTACCTGAAACAAACCACTTTTTCTTCCTTTTTTTTTTTTTCTTTAATAACTTCTCGCGCATTTGAATTTTTGCTTTCCCACTATACAACCCTCTCCCGTGCCTTTCTCGGCTTCTCCTTTTCGGACCCGATCTTGCCGTCTGTCAGCTCGCCAGCTGCAGCGTGGGTATCATGTCATTCGACCCCACCACCACCATGTCACCTACGAACGCCTCCGCCAACGGGACCGCCAGCGGGGCCGAAGGCGGGAAGCCCCCCACTATCCCCACTGTCATGTTCATCTTCGGCGTGGTGGGCAACCTCATAGCAATCGTGGTGCTCTGCAAGTCCAGGAAGGAGCAGAAGGAGACCACTTTCTACACGCTGGTCTGCGGACTGGCGGTCACTGATCTCTTGGGGACCTGCCTGGTGAGTCCGGTCACAATTGCCACTTACCTGCAGAACCGATGGCCAGGAGGAGAGGCACTGTGTGAGTACAGCTCCTTCATCCTCCTCTTCTTTGGTCTCTCTGGCCTCAGCATTATCTGTGCCATGTCTATAGAGAGGTACCTGGCCATCAACCATGCCTATTTCTACAACCATTACGTAGACAAGAAGCTGGCAGGGCTCACACTCTTTGCCATCTACGCTTCCAACGTGCTGTTCTGCGCCCTGCCCAGCATGGGGCTCGGCAGATCTACTTTGCAGTACCCTCGCACTTGGTGTTTCATAGACTGGCGAACAAACGTGTCCACCCATGCAGCATATTCCTACATGTACGCGGGCTTCAGCTCCTTCCTGATCCTGGTGACTGTGATCTGCAACATCCTGGTGTGCGTGGCCCTCATTCGCATGCACCGCCAGTTCATGCGACGCACGTCCTTGGGGACAGACACCACCTCCAGCCGTTTATCTGACTTTCGCAGACGCCGGAGCTTCCGTCGGATGGCTGGAGCAGAAATCCAGATGGTTATTCTGCTCATTGCCACTTCCCTGGTCGTGGTCATCTGCTCCATTCCTCTGGTGGTGAGTAACATCATGCAACCCTTCTTCTGTTCCATCACCCTTACTTCAGAATATTTTCTTCTCCTAGTCTGTGTTTGTCAAACAGATTCCTGTTGGATTAGGTGTTTATTTGTGGCACCTGTAGTCGGTGTCACAAATTGTTACAATAACTCAATGGCTGCTAGCATACATGCGTGGTATGAGAAAGTTGAGTAGATTTACATTTACACAAAAAGAAACCTGCTTATCCTAAGACCTGGAGTCCTTTGCCTTTTACTTGATTAAAATAGAGTGCCAAAAATCTCAATAATCGTTTCACTGTTTAACTGGAATCCACATAGTAAAATCCTGAGTGCTAATGACACTTTAAAGTTCACCTGCAAAATTAATTTGTGATAAGTGAGTCTAGGGTCTGGCCTGGTTGTTCAGTGTGTTTTTAAAATGTGCATGCTGTTGCTCTAGGGTGCAAGAGTCCCTGATGTGCAGAAGGAGGACAGAGTTGTGTTCACTTGGCACTAGCAACATACAGAGCTTTTCGCAACCAAAACCTAAGCTAAACTTCTACTCTTCGGGGATTCCTGCCTCATCTCTGGGGTAGATCCCACAGGCATCCTTTCAGGAGTTCCCCGCACAGTGGGAGGAGTGAACTCAGTAGAACCACCTGTCGGTGTGTTGCTCACTGAAATGAGTGTTGGAGGAATCTGGCCCCCATAAGCCTGAGATCACGCTGAAATGTCAGACGACATTACAACTAGCTGTGTGCTCATTTTCTGAAAAGGCTGATACAATTGGTGTTATTAAATTAAACACACAGGATCCACTTTTTTCTATTCTTCCACCTTATCTTCGGGAAAGACAAAAAACTCAAATCCACCAGCTAAAGGCAGAGTTCTTACTTCCCAATAGCCATCATAAAGCTTCTAAAAAATCCTGTCCTACTCTGGCTCAGAGACATTAAACAAATAGTTGGCTTGCCTTATTTGCCATCTTACAAAACACAGTGTAGGGACTAATGCAGTGGCTGTCAGACAGAAGGTGTTTTTAGAAAGACTTTTTTAAGGAGGTTTCTTGTCAGTGGGGTGATTCCTCTGTCATAGAGAGGGGATGTGTCAAATTTGTGTCAAATAGAGCTGGCCAGCTGGAGATGCAAAACACTGAATATCACTGCGAGGAAGTTTGGAGAAGGGCATGTGAACAGGACTCGGTGTCAGCGAGTCTGTCCCCCTGCTCAGAGGAGCTGTAATGACAAGGGTTGGTCGGAGCTGCCACATTGCTGGCAAACAGGAGCCAGTGCAGTGTGCTGTGCTGCAGCACCAGGGTCCCGGCCGCTGCCAGGGGCCATCTCCTCTCCTTCGGCGTTGTCACTTGTTTGTGCGGCTAGGCGTGACCGAGCGTGGTGCCGTGTGTTCGCTGACTGACATCCAGAGGAGGTTGAGAGGTGCTGCCTGAGCTGCACACAGGGTGTCCCCGGGAGGAGCACATGCCTTAGACAGAGGAACTGTGCCAGCCTGCCCTGCAGTCCAGCTCCAGAAACGGCGGGGCTAAGCTGACTCGCGGCACCAGGATGTATCAGGTGGCCAAAGCCCCGACAGTACTGCAGAGAAACTACTTAATTTGATTAATCTAACATCAAAACAGCTACTTCACAAGAGAACAATATTGCATTTTTAAAAGAGGTGCTTGGTCAATACAGAGAATGAGTTCTCTGAATTAAATACATTGTCATGGTGTGATAGACTTAAGCAGCTTCAGAAAACAAGCTAAGCCTTATCCTGTAGCAAAGCAGCAAGAGAAGTGCTGAGAAGTCTGAATGTGAAATGCAAAATGAAATAGTTTTTATTCATTTTCACCTAGGCAGTCTTTTAAGTAATACTTTAGAAAAAAAAAGGAGGGGACGGGTAGGAATCAAGAGGGAGGGTTAACCAGAGAGTGAACTGGATTGTTGAGAGTCAAAATTAATGAACCTGGGTAGGGCAAAAAGTTTATTATTTAAACAGTAGCTAGTGAAAAACTTGCATATAGCAGAAGTATGTGAAGGTGCAGGTGATAAAGTTGTATAGATCTCCCAGAACTTGATTCACTTCATACAAAGGCAGTGTTACCTTGGGAATGTTCACATAAGTTAGCTTTTACCTGGTAAAGCAGTATGTATTTTCTCTATCTAAAATGACATAAGAAACTCATTTCATTTAGATGAATGACTAAAAATAAAAGGAAGCTTTTTCTAAAAAAAACAAACCCAAATAACCACATATATACACATCATCACAGTGTCCAGTGTGGTTAAATCTCCTCATTGTTAAGTAGCTTTTTTAAGTCTTTTGTCTCCCTCTGTGGGAATAAGCCACAGCCACTTGTGCTGCTTTGTGCCATGGTGAACTGCCAGGTATGCTGCTCTGTTAAGCCCTCTGGATGCACGGACACTGAGGTTAAGAATGGGGAAACTCAGAAAAGTGACACCTTTATAGTATAAATCCCTAGAAAGAGCCACTAGGCAATGTAGGTACATTACTAATATAGACTAATACGTACTAATGGACTTACATTTTCATGACTCGGAGGAGTTTTAAGGAGTCCTCAGGTCAGCCTGGCAGTCATCAAGAACCATAAAAGTGATGCCAGCATGATTCAGATAACACAAAGCAGGCTCAGAGGGTGCTTTGTGACTTAAGTTTTTCTTTTGATGAGCTGACTTTGCACTAATGATTTCAGCTCAATAAACCATCAAGTAAGTCAAAGAAAAGCAACTTCTGAAAGAGACACATAAACTTTTAACATTTTAGAACAAACACTTTCTAAGATAGTAAGATAGGAGATAGGGTCAATCCAACAGGAGTCACTTGTTATGGTTTCATAGAAAAAAATTTCAAGACCAGAAGTATTAAACAGCCCTGAAATAACTGAGTCAGAGATAACAGCAGATTTTAATAATGAGATGCTTCAGCATATGATTTCCACATAGGGTAATTTAGAGTTTTAGTGATTATTCATAAAAACTGCAGAAGTTTAAAGTAACAAGTGCTGTAACAAAATTATAGGGGCTGTGCGAAATGCTGAATGAACTTGAGAGAAGGCTGAATAAATATATCAAGGAAAAAAAAGATGAATGAAAAATAGATTTGTGAGGGAAACTTTATATAAACTGGTGTGTTCTCAGTGTGCAGAAGGGGATGTGAAAGACATGAATCTGACAATAGTTTAAAAATCAAGTAAGAAAAGCATGTAACTTATGTGCTGACTCGTGTCTTGACTCCACATGGCTTATGTCATCTCTTAAAATATTTTGCGCTTTTTAGAAGTTAGAATTGCATAGTGTAAAATGTAGGGAATAAGCTATATTATGAGGGATTTTGTCAAGAAGAGAGCAGAAAGTTTTATCTGGCCTTTCTGAAAACACCAGGCTGTTTCAAGAGTAAACAGGCACACACTCCTCAAAGTCTGGAATTCATTCCAGCAGTCTGTCAAATACTCTTAAAATTTTTAAGTGTGTGATCTTCTTCTCATTCTGACCACTGAACATTGTTGTTGAGTTATGGTGATATGAAAAATAAAACATAATATTTCAGGGTGTACATCTTGTTGATTGCATTAAATTATTAGGATTTTCTAACTTGATGTTTAATTGATCTAATTGGCTTGGCTTGGCTGGTTTCAACTTTTGAGTATCAGGGACTGTCCGTGACCAACTGCAAGGTGTCAGGCATGATTTTTTGGCAGCAGAGTAGTCACCAAGCAGACAGTAAGATCTTGAAGGGCAAAGGTTATTGGCTTGTGGAGCTGCAAAACTTGTTCCTGCTTACTATCATATGTTTTTTTAATTTATCATATCAGCATGTGGGGAGATTTTGAGGGCAGGTGGAAGCTGTGGAAACAATTACAAGTGTGACTGTAACTATAAAAGTCACTTTATAATGCTTCATAGGATTAGGAATCATGACTTGCATCTGTAGTTAGCAAAAAGGAAAAGCGCAAACAGCACAAGGACTCTGATCCTACAAGTGCCTGTCTGGAGCATAAACTTGAGATACCTTTGAGCTGTGTAGTTCTTAATTACAAATAAAAACTGCTATTACTCTTAAGATATATTGTCTGAATTCTACAGCTGCAAACTTAATATACAAACCCTATTTTTTAGAGATCTGAATTGTTCTAATTTGCTTCCTTTTTTAATTAGGATTTCAAATTGCACAAATCCAAGCATCAGATTAGATAATTTATTTAGCAGCGCATTCCACTTACTTGGCACTTGCTTAGAAGATGACAGGCAATATCTTTTATTGTGCTGCCACCTGCAGCAGAGGACTTGTAGCCAAAAGAGAGTACATCTCTTGCTGTAATTCTAAGTGATCTTTTACTAAATGTTGTTTCACCAGTAAGTAAAGAAGGATGAGACATTCCTACACAGATAATGTTTTACTTTATTGTGACTAATGTAAGACAACAATAGGTCTTAACTGATAAATGCATATGACATTCTGGGGAATCCATTTTCTATGGAACTCTTCTGGGAAGCAGAAACAGTTTTGTACAATCAGAGTT